AGCTATTCCCTATGGGAAATTCGCTAATAAAGTATCTTTAAAGTGTTAAATAAACATGAACAACTTGGCTTGAAAAGGGGATACCACAGTGTAGCAGTAGTAAAAAAAAACAAATAACTTATTGTTCAAAAATCAAAATAGCGTGACATTTAGTTTAAGGTAAAAAACTATCGACTCCATTTGGGTCCCAAGATGTGAAGAACCGAACCTTCAATGAAATGGAGCAGGGTTAACGAGGACTTCTCTGCAGTTTAAAACACCCATTGCACTTTTGAGAGCAGCCTTTGTGCTTTAAGAGCTTTTTATACTCTTTGAAAATCCAGCAGCATTTTCAAAAGGTTTACTTTGACAAGTGGACTGGAAATACGTGTTAATTCCGCATATATTGTATTGTATTGTTGCATATACTTTGCAGATTTGCTTAACGTTAGAGAATTAGGAAGGAGTTTTAAATCAAACCTCTTCACACTGACTGATTTTTAACTAACCTTAAATTCTTAACAAACAAATATAAGTAGAGTATCATTTCTTTAAAATTAACTGCAAAGTAAAAATTGAAATTAAAAAAAATGTAGGTAACAGGTCTTACTCAATGTGTAATGCCATACAGCCAAATCAAAACTAGAACTAAGCTAATTTTTAATGAGCTCAACTAATTATTTGGACTCAAATTTAAGAACATGTTCCTTTAATTGTTTTCATCAGTTTGGTTCTTTAAGATATGAGATATAATATTTTCAATTATCAGGGAACCAAACAGATTGTGTATACAATCATTACCTAGGCTTTTACAATTGTTTATATCATATTCTCTGTTATATACTCCAAGATTTAAAATCATATAAGTTATTGGCTTTCCTAATAAACTTGCCTCGTCAATTGAATCGAACAGCATCAAAGGATATTTACTAAGCTCAAACTCAAACATCTTTATTTTTTTAAGTTGTTACAAACTGCATAATAGCGTCAACAAAATTTCTTTTGTATTTTTTTAATATGGGACTTTCTGACTTAATTAAGACATAGATCATTCTCGAAATGTTTTCTGAATCACACTCGTGTCACTGCTCTTAGATAACCTTTCATAACGTATGAGTGGACTGTATTATTTGTTCATCGCTGACGCTGATGCTGTGATGAGACAGATTAGTCTCGAAGGGAGCCTAATTAAAAGATCCACAGAACAAGTCTCACTTAAGCCTTGTTAGGGCATTTGAGGTTATAAGTGTAATAAATCAACTACTAACTTAAATTGATTCCATCACTTATAAGTAGTCTTCTTTGGTTAACCTTAAAACACATAATAAGACATGAGTTTTGAATGTCTTAATATTTTACTTTAATACTCTTCAATGAAATGGCGACCATACAAAGTAGGTATTTTAAGCCAAGCATGAATGGAGATGAGTGGCGCGATCTTGTAGTCTTGTTAGTGACTAAGGCCGACATATCCTTAGAAACAGCTGTTAATTTGACCTAATCAGAGTGTTTGAGTGCTATGAAATGAAAAATTGTTTATTTAAACGGGCAAAGCTAGGAGATTATGTAAATATGTTGTACAGTATAAATTACAAAATGCTCATAAATTACCACACATCCTCCGATTATTTAACTTACTTTTGATTGCTAGCACATGACAATGAAAAGTCTTGTTGGGTAAATAGGGGATTCCCTTTAGTATAATTTATACGCTTATAATTATTCATTAAAATCATTTGGTTTATTTGGTGAATTTACACTAATTGTAGGCCTATGCCTTTTACTTACATTGAGAAAGGGAAAATTTCAAAACCTGATATTGTTCCCTTTTTTTTGTAGAGAGGAAGTTAAAATTCCTCTACGATCACTAAGAGGCTCGATGTCCTCTCTGTAGTATCACGCCGGCTCAAAAGGTCAAGGGTCCGTGGACTACCGGCCAAAAAAACTCCTCATCGCCAAGGACACAGGCCTGGAACTGTTAAGCACATTACATCGGGCTAGGCCATTTAAACTATGCCACTAAGACTCTCCTCTTATATTCTTCCAAACATTGAAGTATGGCCTCGGCGAACGACTTAACAAAGTTCCAGGTGCCCTCCCCCTGGGGCTCAAACGATGTTTTCATAAGAGTGATGTCGACGCCGATCTCAGTGAACTAAGAGGCTCAGCGGACATGCCACCTGTCACAAAAGAAAAAGGTGTGCAATACCAGTACAGTACAAACAGCCCAAGCTATCCGCCTTTGGCATTCCCCATCCTGTACAAAAAGGGTCAGATACCCGTGACGGAACGGAAGACGGGATGGCATCGGCAATCACCTTGAATGCTGGCTCGGAGACCTTAACTTGCATAGACTGAGGCGACTTGCAAGGCTCCTTGACGCTGAACGCGAATGCCGGTCACGGAAGGCCCCCCTCTCTAGCACATGGGCCAGACCTCAGCACCAAGAGCAGATCAGACAGCAGACATCAGTAGGTGGCGTTTGCAAGAGCAGGGACTGCCAACGCTTTGCATAAGCCAACTAAGGGCAGCGACTACCTTAAACGGCTTTGTCAACAGTTCACTTTGTCTGCTCGCTGAAAGACAACTTGCTGTCAATCGTAACACCAAGGTATTTGGCATTAGGCTTGGTCTCGGTGGAACTGCAATCTCTGCCTTTCCAACTGCCGGCAACAAGTAGTGATTGGGCATTGTTACAATTGAATGATAACCAATTATTAGAGACAACTTTTTTCTGCATAATGCGGCTGAGTCTAAGATCAGGGACATCCTCATAGGCCTACCGACCAACTTTGGGTTTTAAATAAAAAGGTCAACCTAGGCAATGTAGTGCATTCATTTCAGGAAAGAGAATTCTGAAAATAATGTATGCCTCCGTAGTGATAACTGGCATTTAATCACAATATTAATAGTAGACATTGTATGATTTTATGCTGTATTTTATTTAAGAAAATGTTGTCTCTCTTGAAAATTGAATTTCACCAATAATCTGTTACTGTAGGTGGCTCAATTTTTGAGCCAAGCTTTTATTCTCCTAATTGCAGAAAGCAACTGCAAAAATTGAACTATCGATAATCACAATTAGCCTACACAGCGATCGCACAAGATGTTCAATATTTAATTGTTTAAATGTAGCAGACATCCTCAATTTTTCATTACAGGTACATTGACTTTTATTTAAAATTTTATTTAGTGTTCACGTTTGTGCCACATTTGCAGTTTAAGTCGAAACCAACTAGCCTATAGGTAGTGTAGCAACACATTTTTCACTACCGTACATCTTTTTGATCAGAGAACTGAAGCTAGTATTCTTCTATTACAGACAACACACGGTTCTTTTCTGTTATGCCCACCAGGCTAGGTTACACAGGGTGCGGTAAAAAAAACCGATCTATTTTCTGTAGCGCACTGTTCATCAACAGGTCGTCTGAGGGTGGTGGGAGTAGGCTTGTTGGAAAGCCTACACAATGCCATTTTTTGCAGTCATAGAGCAGTGGTCGCCTAAGCTACGTGTTTGTTATTGAGTTGTATTTAAAAAATAAGTAGTGAATAGGCCCTACATTCATTGCAACTCAGCGGCAGTTCCGTGCATTCTGACGTTCCGTCGTAATTATCTGTACGGATAATTAACATGAAGTTAAACAGATTAATATTCTTATAAATCTGTAGGGATGATAATTAACCTCAAAATTCGTGTAACTGAGCGGTCAGACATGTTCAAGGCAGCCGCTTGTTTCCAGGCGATCCTACGAGAACTGTTTTTCACAGCAGCACACACTCTATCAAATGTTAGTTGTCTGGCATCCTATTTGACTTAGGACGGCCTGTCAGCTTCCTTTTTAACGCAAAAGCTGTTGTTCTAAAGTTAGTAACCCACCGCATTATTGTACAGTACAACGGAACTTCTGCATATGGCCTTAGACCTAATTGAAAGAATGCACGGAACTGCCGGGCTGCCGCTGAGTTGCAATGAATGAACTTTTTAATTTTTTAAATGACTCAATAACAACCGCACGTAGCTCAGGTGACCACTGCTCTGTGACTAAAAAAATTGCATCCTAGGCTTTCCAACGAGCCTACTCCCACCACCCTCAGACGACCTGACGCTGGACAGTGCTCTGCAAAAAACAGATCGGTTTTTTTACCGCACCCTGTATATGTGGCAAGTTATTAGTCAGGTAGGTAGGTTATTTGCACATTAATTACGTTACAGGTCCTAAAAATATGTGTTTGCCGGACGAGTGTGGTCGTTCCCGTGCGAGACGAAGGCGAGTGCAGGATTACTATACGAGTCTAGTAAACACATTTTGGACGAGTGACGTGCACTATATTTTAGGCCATATTACTCTAAGCTATCTTAACAATAAAAAATATGTAGGTACAAATCCTTATAAATTCACACTGGCTTAAGGACTAATAATCACAACGGTACCTATTCAGCTGTTTTCCGGACTAAATCCTTAAATGTGAAAGTTTGTTAAAACAGTTTAGTGTGGCGTAAAAGATATAATTTACTTACATTTAAAATGTTTGGTTACCTACTTATCCCATTCCAGTTCAAAAACTTTTACCTAACCCGACGTCAAAAGGTCTGGACCGTAGATCTTTTGATATTATTATAAAAAATAAAATAGAATTATTTAACTGCTAGTATGGATTATTAACTGCCGATTGGATTGTCAAAACAAAGGGTCCCGTTCATAGAGTTGAATACCACTTGTATTCCCAAACCCCCTAAGCTGCAGCCACCAATGAATCAGAAAAGAAAAGCCCTCTGGCAAAAGCCGCTGAGGGCCACATGGATTATAAATACAGCCCTGACAGTACACTATTAAGTTTTTTTTAACTGAGGCCTTTAGGTAGGCATAGGCCTACTCTGCTCACCTAAAGACGGGTCCCAATCCTGAGACGTCTTAAAATTGGGTTTTTACTAATCTTGACGGAAAATTCCCAGTAATTCCTCAAATTGCACACAAAATATACGAATACAACGATAAAATATTATATACTAGAAACTTTACCTTGCAAAAGGCGAGCTCAGGTAGTGGGTGTAGTATAAAATTGACAGCAAACTCAGCACTAGTAATCCTGCTACACATCTTTTCACAGTCATTTGTTTTAAAAAACATCTTCTAATTCCGATATTTGTCCCCCCGGTCCTTCGCACACCATTCATCAACACAAGGACGTTTCGTTCACCCGCACTTTGCCACGAGCTTCCCAACAACGATGTTTTATCACTATGACGAGGCATTTTTGGTTTTAAAGTCTGCGTGCTAATGGTTATTTAAATAATTTTTACCTAAATATATCAACTAAATACAAAAGCACTGAACAGTAGCCTAACTCTTTGTAAAAAAGGTTTTGATTTAAATTTTACCGATTCAGAATTAAATATTGATCACCCAAAAGCGCATGTGAAATTGATGTTTATGTCAATTTGTTGGATTGCACCTATTAATTTAAATAAATAAAAAAAATAGGTTTGGTATTGCCTCGAAGCAGATTTTCCTTCACGAATAAAACTTTCTTCAGGTACAATACCGACATAAAAAGCACTATAAAAGTCACTTTCCGACACTCAACACTTTCTGCTAGCTAAGGAATGTAACTTTATTTAACCATCCTGTGTCAGATTCACTTTGTTTTGTTTCTAAAAAAATATTAAAAATCACTTCCCTAATAACACTAGATATTATTCGTCAAAATGTTACCTAACAGCTTAGACCTACACCTAGATTTATTACAATAAGGATGGTAGAAAGCCTAAATCATCTAAGTGAGGTATGTTCTTCATCTGTTGACTCTTAGTTTTGTCCGCCATTTGCTGTGCTTCCAGACGTTGTGGGGGTGTCGGTTAGAAGCCGCTCGCATGTTGGGTTGGGTCTGCCACACAAGTCCCTGGATAACCAACGCCACGCATCACGGCAACACAATCTCACTTCACCGTTCCATTGGTTTTCTGTAATTAAAAACAAACATTAGCATAGAAATTTGTCCGTAACTGTAGCCTAACTTACTTACAGTCTAGTAAATAGTAGCATATTAAATAGATTGAACGATGACCTCTGCTTAGTCTCCGAATTTAAGATCCCACAATAACTTAACTTATCCGGCATCAAATAGGTACCGTAGGTAGCCTATAAGTTATGCAGACAGATAAAAATATTAATAGCATTAAATTACGCTGAGGAATAAGATAGGCACTAATGTAGCTGGGTAGGCGCTATGCCAAGTAGCTACAGTACCGGTACGGTACCGATGTTTTCCCGAATTACGACAAAAGCGGGATTTAAGCTTTAAACGTAATCAGGCCTATTACTTAAAAATGGACTGCTTATTTTAAGGATTCAGCTGTGGTTATTAACTGTAAAAGTCTAGATTTCAGATGGTTTGCATGCAAATGAACTATTCCTACCTAAGTTATCGGCATTGTGTTAAATTTCTTAAATTTAGTGAAAGGTTTTCCAGAAATTTTTGTGTTAAAGCTTAAAATAACAAATTCATAATATAAAACAAGATCTGTTAGTATGAAAACAGCATTCAGTACCGTTAGCCTAGAAGTTGCTCGGATTTAGGCTTACAGTTCTCTTAAAAGTGAATGCCTTCATGGGGAATAGAGTAGGCCTATTATAGCATAGATAAAACATACTCCCTTGTGTTGCTTAGTCTATGATTATAGTTTGTATTAAGTTATGACATAACCTTAACAAATATCCAAAAGGCCAAGAACTCTTTAAATTGATTTGAAGCACCAAAAAATATCTCATCTCAGCTTAACTTCATTTTTATCTCATATCAAAGTATAGCAGCAGCTTTGGATTAATATGTACTTGATCTTAAAATTGTCAAATACATAAATAAACAAACACATCTAGCTAATGTACTTGGCAATCAGTACCTGAAGTCAGCCTTTAAGAAAAATATAACCTATAAGGTGGTCTCTTGCAATGCAACATATAGGCTTTGGTACTTGAAATGGTCATAAGATGTGAACCAATCATAGGAAAAACAATCAAATTGCAATTTGAAAAGCTCTGTAAAGGGCTTTGGTAAATCAAAACAATTTCTAATAGAATATGGGTAGGCCAGGTCTAATTTACTAAAGTATGTTTTCCAACTAATACTTACAACATTTAAAACGACTGATCAGGCCTTGAATGTTTTTGGTACGCACTTTATATCCGGAAACACATTCACTTCACGTTTGTAAAAATTTCAAAACCTAATAATCCCGACATCAACATTACGATTTGACACTTCTAGCAGACCGTTCCCCGACCGAACAACAAACTGATCTGATCGCAGACTACCGAATTCAGTGAATTCCTCTCCCCCTCCCACACCCCGTGATCTAGCGGCAGACCTGGAGCAAAGACGAAGTGGAACGGAAATGTACGAAATCGTCCGAAATATTTATACATTTGCTCCTGATTTGAATTTAAGTTCACTCTAAAAATATTTTTTCCTTATAAAATTAAAATTAAAATCTGGCAGATCTTAAGATTTATTGGACAGATGCTAAATGTTTTACAGTTTATTTGTTCTAGATTATTATTATTTCCTTCAGCTGATTTTTATCATTTACATTCAATTAATTGAGTGTTGACAGAAATTTTTGTGGACAAGATAAAAAAAAATTGGACGAAACAATCTAAATTGAGTAGTTATTATACATATAGATAAGTAGACACCTAAAAATTATATTTAATTGAAAACACTGTATGAACTGTATGTCTTATTTAATTATTTATTTATTCACACGGAAAGAACAATTTTTACAATAAATACATAACATGTAAATGATAGTATGAGTGTAAGAGTAACAGCCCGTCAAAACACTCTTGCTGCTATATAAGCATAACTGAGAACAAGAATGAACAAAAATACTTTGACAAAGATATGATATGGCATAACCAAGTAGATAACATTTTGTAATTCTTACCAATGTGACAGAAAAAATAGCGATTGCCAACAACTAGATAACAATTAAATAAATATCACAATGAAATGTCAATGGCAAACAGAAATATTTAACAGACAATACTATAAAAACAAGGACAGTAAAAATTACAGTAAAAGGACAGTGATATAAACTATCAATAACAACATTAGAAAGTTGAAACAAACAAGACAGCAAGCAAACTCAGGACAGTATGAGGAGAAATTTTCAATATTTTCTCTATTGCTAATGTTTAATGTCCGTTAAAATGCAAATAAATGCAGAAATAAGGAAATATTACTAAAGTAAGACAAACATCTAAAAATCTAGTATAACAATGTGTTTATCCTTTGTGCTGGTAACGTTATTTACTACGGTACTGTTTATGTACACTGGAAAACTCAGTGTTGAAACTGACGAACTTTATTCATTCAACATTTTTTTATTACTGTAATAAAATCATACTCGTAATTTAGCTTCTTAAAAATCCTTCTTTGCAATAAAATATAACACAATAAACAGTCAACAATAAACATAGAAATTATTAAAACATATTTCAATTAGTAACACCAAACTAACATAATTATTTATCTCTGGTTTAACTTATCTAATAATTAAATAATAGTCTAAGAGCACATAATTTTTGTTTTAACGTAAAAAGTTCACTGATTATCACAAAAACTATACAAAATATATTCATTTATTGAATACTTTTTATCAAATACCATAGTCTAACCAACACAAGTAAACTTCACATTCCATTATACATTTTGAAGCTCGTTTTTGTTTATAGTTCATGTCCGGTGATATTGGTGGCTAGTGTCGACGTAATTTAGTTTCTATTATTTTAGAGTTAATTTCATGATTTTTGCTTTACCTACTGGCTATAAACTAGAGGATGAGTTATTTATTGGTTATGATCATATATTTTTATTTAAATACGCACATAGTGGCGTCCCCATCATAAATAATTGATAATTGATAATTGATAATTGATAATTTGGTTAAAAGGGGTTTTAAATTACTGAAATAACTGGACACAAATTGTAAAGAAAACACGACATCTACAGTGCACCTGACAGAACTGACGGCAAAATTGGCTTCAGCTGTTTCATAAGGATGGGAAATCTAATGCTAATACCTGAGTATTTTGGAGCAGAGTGAAACCCTGCAACGTTTAGTTACCTGCTTCACATGCTTAAAGTAAACTCCATGATGCATCAGACATCCCTACAAGAGAATATTAGAAAGGATTGAGCGGTCTCGCATATGGTCAGTTTGGAGTGCAGCTGATTCGCCCACACATACATTAACATACCTGCCTCAGCCGAGCCGTTGCACTGGAACTAGTACATAGAGTACAGAACATCAACCAGTTATAACTCAGAGTAGAGATAAAGTACAATAGTTAACAAGTAGTGGGTTCAAATCCCACCTATCAATGCCAATTATGTGATAATACTGACAATGTCGTGCACTAAAAATCTAGGCGCTACCGGACACGGGTTCGATACATCTGGCATACAGTACCTACACAAATTGAATGGCTAGCCTTTCCTTTAAATCGTTTAAATTTACAATATAAAATCCCACTGGTGTACAAAATAACAAAAACAATAAACATGCCTGAAATGGTCACATTTCTTTGCTGGTCTGCAAAGAAAAGAAAATAACATTAAACCTATGAAGGATTCCGCTTTACTCTATGGAAATATGAAGTAAAATCCCTAGGCATACAATCAGTATAGTTCACATACTCAGGCAATGTGGGAGTACATACCACAGCCACTAAGTCGCTAGCTTTAACATCAAGCACGTGCTGTTTATGATTGCTTCATCTTACAACAGGAAAACTGCAAACCTGTCTGCACAATAATTAATTCGCCTGACTCTTAAACATCTGTGCAATTAATATTTTCTACCAATTCAGGCTCATCTCAGTAACGCTGATAACTTGATAACTTGTTGAAAGAAAATATAATCGTGTTTTAAAACCGTAGTCTACAATGACCTTTTTGGTTAAACATTCAAATTTGTACCACCATCAAAGAATTGCGTTGTTATGAGCAATAGCTTTATAGAATAGAGGTCTTCATTTTGTTTGTTTTACAGCCAAAGCACACAGAAACACACTGTAGGGATGTCCATTTTGTTCATTTGTTGATTTAACATTTTTACAGAATAAATTGAAGATTTCTGTCAGACGTTTAAGTTGACTACACTAACTGTGAAAAATATCTATAGAAAACAACAAGACGAAAAACAGCTTACTACAAAATAATGAATTTCTCGACATATCAAGATAAATTTTAATAGTTTATCACTGTAAAGTCATGAAAAGTTGCAACGATTTTAAAATTGTATTTACGGATTTAGTTTCCAAATTTGAAATAAATACTAGATGAAAAAAATACTTCATAGTTCAGTTTAAAGAATAAATATACTACATTTATAAATGATTGACGATTATGGACTAAAATATAGCTATGGAAACATTTTAAAGTATATCTCAAATTTTGACTCATAAAACGTGCACCTACAAACTAGTATTTCAAAATATACTTATTTACTTCAGGCCTAGGCCCGACATGTTAAAAGCTTTCATTTTGGCAGTTTGTTTAAAACCGAAACATTGACCCTTCAGCACCACTTTCCACCCCCTAGTGGCACTCCCAGTGATAGAGAGATAGAGGACAGACTAGAGCGGAGGACAAACTTGGTATAGATTTTGCCAAGATAAACCCATAAAAGGTCCTTTGTGACGGTCTCGACGTCCCGGCTCGGTTTACAGGGTGAGACAAAACAATCCCCCACTGCTTTATGCTCGACCCTTCCCTTCAATATTCATCGGAACTCGTGCCATTAAAAATCTTAATTACTCGTCTCCTATTGTTTTTCAAATTGGGGTTGTCGAGGGTCGGGCACGTCGTGGGTTTCTGAACCTAAGCTTTAAAATTGGGAGTTTTTGAGAACTATTTTAGTCGAAATAGTAAATAGAGTAGTTTTAAATGCATGTGTTCGGATGGTTTTATTTACAAAGTTTAGTGTGCATTCACTCTACTTGTTGTGCAGGTTAGGACTCAAATCTAGGCCACAAATGCATTTAAATGATGTACCAGTTCTCTTCAAAAGAAATGGCACCCAAACATCAATAACTGTTTTTCATAAGTAGTCTACATTAACAGTGTCAAGTTCTGTAAAAAGTTGTTAAATAAAAAAAGGTACTTAAGGTTAATGATGTTAGTCTGAAAAACATGAATTTGATAAGTTCTTATTTTGAAATTTATCTATCAATACAATGAGAACCATCACATCCAGTAATATTAGAAAATATTTAAATACATTCCAAACTTACGTACATAATTACATTATACACTGAAAATCGTATTTTATAGAAAATAGTCCAAAATGAATCATGAAAGTTTAGGTACCAAATAAAACCCTGCAGGTAAAATGCATATGTTTATATGACATATATCAATGGTGAACCACAGAGCAAAAAGTGTGTTTCACTCATTATTCTGACTAGAAGTATCAAAATATTGATATGACGCCACAGTAGACGTGTTGTATTTGATTTACACTCTTGCCAACCCTGATGAAGTGATTCCCAGGGCTGCCAACTTGTTTCCTGTGCAATAACGCAAGACGTTGGCGAGGTATCGTGCCAATGCGAGTGCGCATGCGTAATGAATTTGTCATCTTTATGCGTACTACACCACCGAGCCTGCGCAGTGCTCACAATGCGTAGTAACCAACAGATGCACCATATCAGAGCTAAACAGAATAGCTGTAGGGTAAAAAGCTGTATTCTAAAAAGTTTTCAACTGGGTTTAAATTATTGTTGTTCTGTCAAGTGGTGCCTTTCACTAGTGCATGCAGATCAGATGCAACTGTTTTGAAGTTTGTTAAAAGTAGGTAGCCTATGTAAATATGACTGGGACGGGTGGCGTCGTCCTGTAATCCAGCTACTAGGAGGTCACGAATTGTGGATATTTATAGGCATGCACTGTGGATACGATACTCCCTGGTGTGGATTAACGTCCGCAATAGTGAGTAACGACTATCCGCAGAACTATCCTGAATTAGACCAATTAGTCAATACCAAGGCAAAAATGTGGTTTGGATTCCTCTAAAAAATTGTAGGTTCCTTAGTTGCCATTAGCTGTAAGGGCAATTAATTAACAGCTGTGTCTAAGGAACATGTCGGCCTTAGTCACTAACAAGACAACAAGATCGCGCCACTCATCCTACACTCATCTTTGTATGGTCACCATTTCAATGAAAGTATTAAAATATTTGAAAGCATCATTAAATACCGTATAAAAATATCTTAACTTTTTTTG